TCTCTCTCTCTCTCTCTCTCTCTCTCTCTCTCTCTCTTTCTCTTATTGGAGATGAAATCCAGGGCCTTTGCACTAAGTCTCCTTCCATTTTCTAGTTTTCAGTTCTGATACAGGATCTGGCTAAACATGCCAAATTGGGTCAAAACTTGTTAATCTTTCTGTCTCAACCTTCCATCGTCCTGGTATTACAGGATTGAACACCATGCCTAGAGCATTCTTTTCATTGTCATCACAAATAAATTTTTCTGGATCCTTTATCTCTTTCTGGTAACAAAGTTAATATTTCAAAATCCTTTTGTTCTAAGTTTTTTCTTCAACTATCTCAGTGATATATTAGTTAACTTTAAATACTTACTAAGGCTAACTTGTTTTTGGCTTATATTTTGTTATTTCTGGTGTAGTAGCTGTTGATATTAGCCCTATAGTCTATATCCATAGTGATACCTACAGTCCACTAACAGAATTTCCTGCCTATTTATTTATCTATTTATCTACTGAGACAGAGTCTCACTTTCCACTTCCGGCTGGCGTTGAACTCATCCTGTAGTATACAATCCCCTTGCGCTCATTTCAGTTTCAGTTTCCCTGCATCAGCCTCGCAAGTGATGGGATTACAGGCATATGCCACACCTGACCCCTGCATTGGTTTAACCGTGTGTGTGTGTGTGTGTGTGTGTGTGTGTGTGTGTGTGTGTAACCGGGGATTAATTCAGGCCCTTGCACTTGCCAGGGAAACACTTATCCTACTGAGCCATCTCCTTGGCCCTCCTACATTTGTTTTAAATATCAATTATTTTGTTGTTGTTACATTTTTTGGTTATTGAGGCATGGTATTGCTATCAGCCCAGGCTGGTCTTGAACTCTCAGTCCTCCTGCCTCGGCCTCGTATGTGCCATAGTTACAGCTGTGTGCCACCACCGTTCGCTTAAGCACTAATTCTTCATTGAGGTCTTACCAAACTCTCACTGAAAAGTCTCCCCCTGTCCCTGCCCAGATTACTTTATTTATAATTGGCTGGACATGGCCTAATCATGCTCCACCTGCGTCCTCATTGGCAGCTGATTGTCACATGTGCTCTATACAGGAGGAATCTCCTCTTGGTGCTTAAAAACCTAGGTTCACTGAGAATGGAGGTGCTCGCCTGTAATCCCAGCACCTCAGAGGCTGATGCAGGAAGACTGTGGCAAGTTCCAGCTCAGCCTGGGCTACAAAGAGTGTTCAAGGGTAGACTGAACTATGTAGACAGAACCTGTCCAAAAAAAAAAAAAAAAAAAAAAAAAAGGCAGCCAACAGCCACCATGCAGAACTTCTGGTTTTAGGGTTCAGATGTGGCCAGAAGCATTCCGTGTGCTCATCCTCGTTCCTATTATAAGGTCTCTATTTTTCTTTCTCTTTCTCTCCTCATTGGTGGTTTTCTGACAGTCCTTGAACCCTGGGCCTTTGCACTGAGCTGCTTCTGCAGCCCCCTATTTCACTGAGGGAAGTGGTCTCCCTCACTTGCCCAGGTTGAACCTGAGCTTCCAATCTGCCCACGTCAGCCTCCGACGGTGCTGGCATAACAGTCTTGGTCCCCTGGCCCTGCTGGCCCACTTGAGTTTTCAACCTAATGGGCAACCAGTACCTTACTGCCCTCAATAAATAGAGGAAATGACACCAGAGCCCAAGTGTTGGAGAATGTGACTCAAACCTGTGTAGACAAAAATCCATCCTCTTTCAGTTCGCCCAGGGGGAAGGTCCCCTTAACTCTCTTGATCATATTCATGTTCCATCAGCAATGAATTCTAAATATTTGGTATTTCGTAAAATGCCACTAGGAAACCATTTACAAGTCCTACAGTTCCAATAAATTGTAAAATTCATGGCTTTATCCTTAATCAACCAGCAATGATTTCAAGTTGAAACCTTTGAAGAACCCAGATAAAGATGGGAGTAGAACTTGAACTGCTGCAGGCCCTCTGGAAGGCCAAGAGGCTCCGTGTTTCTCTCAGCAGGCAACTCCAAAGCTTAGCTTCTGCAGCCTGAGGCCAGGAGCTTCCCGGGAAAGACCTCTTGGCAAGCCCAAGCCACCGCCTCTGATTCCCCAACCGGCTGGAGCTGGCCCAGACCATCTGCCAGTGCTGGCTGCATTCTTCTTAATTTGCCCAGCTACACTCTGGGACTAGAGAGGCCAAAGACTGTAAGGCTCATTGGACAAGGAGAATAGAGATGACAAGAGCGCCCTGAGATAACTCTAGAGGAAGAAAAGTCAGGATGGCCCAGCAGGAGCCCCTCCTAAAATAAGCTCTCAGTCTGTACCCTGCCTGCTGGCTCTTGGAAAACCAGTCAGGGCGCGCCAACCCAACCAGCCTGACCCCTGCGCCCCCTACTGGGTGCAGGAGCTGGCACCACCTGGATCAACAGGAGAGTAAGGGCTCGAGACTAGGCAGAAACAGTCTCTCAGACCCTCCTTTCTGTGCCTTGCCTTTCTACAGAACAGAGAATTTCATGTTTTTGAAATTATTGTTTATTGGGAAGACGAAAGAAAAGGCACATAACCTCTGAAGCCATGTTTTCCATTGTAAAAGCAATGCCACCTGTTCCAAGAGGTCGTCCAACAAGCCATGGCAGCAGGAACCCCAGCGCTCCTTGGTCCAGCGGAGAGACGAGGCTGCCTCGATCCGCCCACTCTGAAGCCCCGAACCCACTGCCTGCAGCCTCGGCGCTTCTGGCTATGGCTGCCAGGGCACGAGGGCTCCAGTCATGGGGTTTTCCCCCAGCAGAAATCAGACTTTGATGGTTTGCCATAGGGACGAGGAGTTGTCACCAAAGGAGGGCGAAACTGCCACAGTTGGTCGGGCTCCGTGTGTCCCCCACCCTTCCTTGGGCTTCGGACCGAGGCAGGCAGCTCTGTGCCCAGGTGCAGTGTGTTTTGGGACAGACTCCAGGGTGTGACTAGGCACAGCGAAGAGGACCCTGGAGGGGGCGACGTGGGGGGGGGCACAGGTTGCAGTTGAGGTCATGGTGTCCCCAGGAGTTTGCACATGTCTGTCTAGAAGGGAGCGCTAGGGCCAAGAACACTCGAGCCTCTGCGGCCCTGGTACAGTGTGTGGCCTCTGGCATAGCGCGGGCATCATGCTGTTCCATGGTGTCAGGCACCCCGGAACGACTAAGACTTAACTGTCACCAGCCTGTGTGTGCGTGTTTGTGCTCTTCTGGCAACATGGATGTTGCTAAACTCACTACAGGAACATGGGCATGGCAGAAATCACATCTCAGAATGGAATTAATATTATTTCAAGTTAAAACCTTCAGTTTAGATAGTCGCAGTGGTACATATCTGTAATCCCTGTACTTGAGACTGAGGCAAGAGGATTGTGGGGAGTTAGAGGCCAGTCTGAACCACAGAGCAAGATCCTGGCTCTAAAAACAAACAAAACAAACAACAGGAACCTCTGGCTTAGTGGGTGAGAAGAAAAAGTATTACTAGCCTGCAGAGAGAAAAGTGATTTGACCCATCAGACTCCAGGAAGTTTGTCTCACCAACCAAAATTGGTAGCCCTGGAGCATACATCGCAGTCCTTTGCTTCCTGAGGAGAATTATTGTGGGGCTGGGCGTGGTGATGCACTATTGTAACCCCATAAATCAGGAGGCTGGCAGCGGCGGATCACAGTGATCTCGAGGGCAGTTGAACTGCGCAGTGAAATTCTCTTTGAACAACAGTGAATAGAACATGCAGGATCTCCCTTCCTTCCTTTCTTCCTTCATTTCCTTTCCTGCCCTTTATTTCTTTCCTTTTTTTTCAGGCACTGGGGATTGAATTCAGGACCTTGTGCTTGCCAGGCAAGTGTTCATTCTACTGAACTATCTCCCCAGCCCATTTTCCTGCCTTGTCTTTCCTTTCTTTCTTCCATTATCTCTACAACTCTGTTTTTATTTTTATTTATTTTTTTTTTATTTTTTTTAAATTTTATTGATAAACTGATAGCAATGAGACAGTTTCAAATCAAATCGGAAGAACAGTTTCAACAAATAACACACTCCATATATTCTTCTTAGTGGTTAATTGCTGTACAAGATGCGGACTTGAGATCCTATTTGCAAACACCATTAGAACAAATCATTCTATCCATTAAGAGAATACAACTATATATCTATCCCAACCACTTTGAATACACAGATATAAAATGGACATTCATTGTTATACCCTATTTTTTCTAAGTTCCATTATTGAATATTATAGGTTGTGGGGGGCGATAGAACGCTCCTGTTATGTTTTCCCTTATTTGGGCAAGAAGTGCTGCAGCACCAATCCCCGCTTGCCTCGACATCTTCCTCTGGTCCTGGATCTTCACTACCAATCCACAACTAGTCACCCAACTACTTCCACTATACAGCTATTTAGCCCCTGTTCACTTCTTCAATAAACGAGACTTGATCAGAAAGCCTGTCTTGTCTCCGTCTCTTGTGTCTCTTGCCCTGTCTTTTTCATCCCCGTTCCTCCTCCAGGTCATTACCCCACGTCTCGACTCGCGGGCCGAGCCAAGTGGCGCCCCATGTGGAGGCCTGGCATGGAGGATTTAACGAGGGAGCCGCTCGAGAGCCCGGGTATGAAGCAGATAGTGAAAGTAAATTCCGAGGCCAACGCCGCGTGAGTGCCTGCTGCGCCGCTCGGGCCACGGTGAGTGAACGGCAACCCCCTTCCCCTTTCCGGCATGGGTCAAGAATTAAGCAAGCATGAACTGTTTTAGAAAGCCTCAGTAAGGCACTCAAGACATGAGAGATTAAGGTAAAAAAAAAAAAAAAAAGATTTATTACAGTATTTTAAGTTTATTCATGAGGTTTGCCCGTGGTTCCCTTGGAGGGCACGATCAATTCTAAAAGATAAAAATGAGTGGGTGATGCATTACAGGATTTTTGTAGAGTTTTTGGCCCTGAAAAAGTCCCAATCACAGCATTTTCATACTGGGGCTTGATTGATGAGATTTTTATGCAGTGACATAGAGACCCTTTGGTCAGAGAAATGATTACCCATGGAGAAGCTGTCCTGCGTAACTCCAATAGGCCCACTCCGGCCCCTTCCCAGGCTGGTTTAGAGGTCTCCTCTCTCCATGGTGAGGAGGCAAATAAAGTGTTAACTAAACCCCAAGATAAGGAGCAGCTTCCACCTTCCCCTAATGAGCAGCTGCTGCCTCCCCCTTCTGAGCTTTTGCCGCCTCCTCCGCTGCCCGAGGCTCCTCTCCTAACCCATTATAAATCTTTGTATTCCGACCTTACTACTTTATAAGAGGTCAATTGGGAAGACTTAGCCAAAGAGGCTTCCAAAAACCGTCCTGACCCCATTGCAGCCCCAGTTGCTACAAAGCCACCTCCTGATAATAATGAACTGTCCAAATTTGCTCCTAAATCTTTCAATGTGCTTTTGGACCTGGAAAATCAACTGTTTGAGAAGCTTACATTACATTTACAATCTTTGCAGGCTGATCAGACATGTGGCACCACTAAGATGGCGCCTGGGCTCAGTGGGCCCTTGCCTAAAATGGCTCCTGAACATGATAAGCCCCCACCCAAAATAGCATTTCCGTTTTCGGAAGTGATGGCCCCCAGTCAAATGAATTGGAGTATGTTCCCTGTATGAGGCTCAACCCAAAAGGAGGAATAAAGGAAAAAAAAAAAATCAAATCTAAAGAGATTACTAAAGCCAGTGGGGA